TTTTTAATTGAAAACTGTTTTGTGAATTACTCAAGTTGGTAAATCGAATATTAAGAGGTTGCAATAAAACTAGAAATTTCGAGATTTTCCAAAGCTAAGAAAAGTCCTTATTTTTTAATTTGTCAAATATATATAAATATTATAGAGGGAAGAAAGATCGTTGGAAAGCCAGTGGATGAAATTCGATAAGTGTACTTCAAAAAATTAAAAAATATAATGTGTTATTAAAAAGTTTAAGTTACAACTTTGATTGAAAGTTTAAAGCAATTTAAGAAGTTAAAATACGTAAACTTTTGAAACAACTAAAAGAAGATTAGTTTAGGTGAAAATCATTTTAGGAAGATAAGAAATTGGCTCAAGTATTTTGAATAACTAAAAATATTAAACTAAGTAGAATTAGATAGACCAGGCAGGTAGTGAGAATGAGCCCAGAACGAACAGCATTAAGAGTCTTTAATCCAACCCCCGCCAATAAAAGGCCAAGAGGAAGGCCCAAAAAGAGATGGAAGGACTGTGTGGATGAGAATTTTGCCATCCTAAAGGTAAGGAACTGGAAATCAATTGCTGGGAGAAGGGCAGAATGGGAAAAGCTTCTGAGGAAGGTTCGAGCTCACAAAGGGCTGTCGTGCCAATGCTGATGAAAAATAACAAAAATAAAAGTGAAAATAATTTCGTATGAAAAGAATTGAGCAAGTTTTGAAACAACTGATTAAACCAAAATTCTAAATCGAAATTTTATTTTGGAAATGATCAATTCATTGTTCGACAATAAACTTATTAATAAATTTATAGGTTTTTTTCAATAATTTTTTTTTAATTAATTACCAATTTACCAGTAAACCCTTGCTAATTTAAGAAATTAAGTAACTCGTAAATCAATGCTAATTTTAAATTTTAAAAATTTCGCACTCTTGCTGGAGTTTTATTTTTTTATTAACTTCTCATATTATGATGACTCCGGTGACGTAGAAAAAATATATGTGGTAATAAAATACTAGCTTAAAAATAACAAAATAAAATACTTGTTTAAAAATGGGAAAAAATCATGAATGCTAGGGAAATCAGAGGTAAGAAAAAAGGTAAAATGAGTTTTTAAAGATATTTCTTTCCTTTCAATATATAGTTTCAGATTTAAAACATATATTTTAAAATCCAAAAAAAAATATTTTTTTATTGCTATATTTAGTTTTTTGTTTTGTCTTTAAACTCGCGAAAACGAGAGCCCCAATGCTTGAAACTTAACAAATAGCGTTATTCAGTTTTTAAATTGTTTTTCATTTATAATAAGTTAATAAAGCTATATTAATTACAGATATGATTTAAAAATAAGTTTATAAGCAAGCAAAATTCATGCATATGAAAACACTAATCAAGTAAACATACCACAAATTTTAATTCGGACACTAAAACACAAAGCTTATTTTATCTGCGTACACTTTGAAAAAAATACGTTGATGCTGTTATAGCATATAATTTGTTTTTTAATTTTAAGCCTTACTCTCGAGTTTTATTGTCCTTTGTTTCGCAAATACACCTTTGTACTTAGTATATCAAGTGCCACGGATTCATTTGGAGCATCTGTTCTCCATTTGCATGCAGTTACCTAAACTTCTCGGTAAGTAATTTTCGATTGTTGTCCTGAGTGACTTTTTATTAGCTTTTGTATTAAATCCTTTAAAAACAGATGCCTGTTACTAGATCTGGATGAGGATTAGCAACTGAAAGCGAAATGACTTAAGCATGCATTTCAACAATATTCAGGGCAGAAAAAATTACCATTGGCGCTTATTATTTATTCAATCAATTAAGTAATTTGCTAAAAGTTATTTAACATAATTTAAAACTTAAAAATCTTGCAAGAAGAAACTTGTTTCACTGTAACTTGTTCACTATTAATTTCTCGCATGCATTGCGACGAAAAAAAAAAGACTTAGATCAGGTGCGTGGGTTGCGTTCATACCCCAATTTTGACAAAATAAACTGATAATTCATTTTTTAAAACATTTAATCAAGTGGCAACTTGTTCAAAAAGTAAAAATTCTGATAAAAAAAAGTACAAAATCAAATACTAAACGCAAACTGCGATTCTTGCTTCACAAATTAGAAACATTAAACTTTTTATTAACTTTAATACATTAAACTTTTTATCTATCACACTTCATAGCAAATCAAATTACAGTTTCATGCATCGCGTTAAAGATACGTTTTAAAAGAATAATAACAATTTTTAAATTCATTCAAATGAAATCACTGAATATATTTCAGAACAGTTAATTTCATATCGAGTTATTTCCTCCCCAAACTCATGAGCAATTTTTTTTTAAATAATACCTGACTTTAAGATAATTTATAAATTAAATTTCAATACAATACCTCTCTTAAACAGGAAATAAAAACAATTCTTTCAACTTGAATGAAATATTTGTATTACTAACACAGAAACTTCAGGAAAATAATTCAATAATTTAGAAATGCATTATATCAATATAAAATTAATTTTTAAAAATTCGAAACCTTGCTTAACTCAAATTGCAAATTGTAAATTAAACTTTTGTTATTTTAATGAACAATAAAACCTACTTTTGAAATGCAGGAAATGTGTTTGAAATAACAGAAGAAAAAGATATTCCCCGAACTATTCTTCTTCGCATTCAAGATATGTTCACCAAATAAATTACAAAACATGTTATTTATTGTTCGTTCCAAAAAACAATCTATGTTCTGCTTGAGGGGAATAGCGTGAAAAAAAAAGGAAAAAAAGGGTCAAATAAAATAAAAGATTAAGAATGAAGTTGCATAATACTGACCACTGGCTCTTTTGTGGTCGTGTGAAAATTTCATTTTCAATTCATTTTATAGGGTGGTGGAGCATGACCTGTTAGAATGAAGAAAAGTGAAACTGGTTTTACTTTTAGAAAGTTGTTCATGTTCATTAAAACTACGTTGTTTCTACCAGTTCCTTGAGTGTATGCTGTGATGTATAAAAATAATAGAAAGGGATATTACGGGTATAAAGATCAAACCATAATTAGAGATCTATGTTTAGTACTTCCTGATATTACTTTTACCTTAAAAACAATACAATTATAATATTGCACTGTTAAAAACTTTAGTGCGGATTGGGCCGTAATATTGTTCAAATTTACAACACTACAACCACAATATGGTGCTAAGTTGAACTATAAGTTGTACTTCTTAAACTTGATTAAACAATACTACGCTTCAACAAACATAACAACTTTCTAAAAGTAAAATCAATTTAACTTTTCTTCATTCTAACAGGTGTTCATTCTAATAGTATAATTTAACACTTTATTTGGAAATTTACATGATATTATGGTTTAACGGATGTAATGGTCAACCAATTTTCTGAGACTGTATTTATGAAATCTAGATTTTTTTTTACCTGATAATGCTTAACGTTTTGAAATAAAAATAGCTTATGCGGTACAATTATAATTGCTAAAAAGAATAAACTTTTTTTCTTTGAACTGATTATTGAGTTAGAAATCCTTCCTTACCATTTTTACAAAAGTAAAATTTGCTGAACAAAATAAAAATTAAAAAACTTTGATCCGATCAAAAACCTTTCATGAATTTTTAAAAAAATTAACTATATTTTTTTAAATGTATTGAAAAGAAAACCAACTTTTTTAATCAAAAATAGTACATCATTGTTTGATGAAAAACATCTTTAACTGCACAAAGATACCAAAATAACTGAATTCATTAGTAAGGGAAGATTTCAAAAGTTGAATTTTAAATCAACTATAATTTCGTACACTTTTAAAATTTTTGTACATTTTCAGAATAGTCAATTGTTTTGAAACTTCAATAAGACTTTCAATAGCCTTGCACCATTCTTTTGTGTTTAATAATCAAATTTTCAAAGCGATTAAATTTTTAAAACAAAAGAATTGCCCTGATTCAAAACAATACTAAATTTTATAAAAATGACTAAAAAAATATAAAAAAATTATCTTTATTGAATTTTAAAATTAAATATAGCAAATAACAGGAGAAATATTTATTTTAAGAATGTATGCAGATAAGATTGCTTATGAATGCTATTTAAAATGCTGTTATTATTTATAAACAGAAGAAATTGCCTTTTTGCTTACATCAAACACTGAATCCAAATCATAATAAAAATTTTCCTCTTCAAATTGACAAATTGAGTCAAAAACCCATTGATTAAAAAAAAACAATCATATTGAAAATTTTGTTTAAAAAAATGAGAATCCCAGTACTTTGTAACATTAAAAAATAAAGATAAAATAATGTGACAGTCTAATGTTTAAAGAACCAAACCTAATAAACAAATCATCAATAAATAGAGAAATTTACATCAATGGTTTTAAAAATGATTATATTTAGGAGTTTAATTACATTTAAATGTAAATTAAATCTGAAGCAGAGCATTAAATTAAAACTGCGAGAAAGCATGAAATTCGTTGCAAACGGATTAATTAAATGCTATTTAAGAATAAATTTAATTAAAAATCTGATATTGAAGACGTTCCAAATCCTTAACGTATCTAAGCATCAGTATTAGTGAACAATAGTTTCAAAAAAAGGATTACTTTTTATTCAATAATCATTTTCGTTGACTCTTTGATTACAAAGAAAAAAGGATTAAGTAAAAATAAAAATGTGACTTTTGAAATTAAAAAAAACTAATAAAATATCATGACAATAAGCATTTAATTCCTTTCAAACAATTAATAATAATGTAAAAAAATGATAAATAATGATTAATAATAAACAATGATAAATAATAAATGATAAATAATGTTAAAAAAAATGATAATGTTATTAAACGTTGCAAACTTCATGTTCTTTATTTAGGAATATTTTTAATTCTAAAAAAAAAAATATTTCGTGAAACAAAAATACCCATATTATAACAAGTTACCTTATTAATGAAAGCTCTTAATGGAATAATAATGACTATGACTTTGAATTAAAAGCATACATTATTAATAAAATATAACTCTCACTTTATATGAACGGTGCCATCCGGGTCCAACTGTTTGAGCTGTTTCATAAAACATTTCAACTAAAAATAAATATCACAATCCAAAAAATATATTTCTTTTTACTTTTTCACAATGAAAACTCTAATATAATCCACAAAAAACGTTCGTAATTATTCCAGTTTATTCCATACAGCATTTGCTCAGTACATATCGCAAATAAAATCAGAAACTTCTTAAAACTTTTTAAATCTGAAACTTTCCTACTACGAGAAAAACTTTAGAATGAGACTGGTTGCAAGTTACCTAAGGTTCAAGCATGTTTGTAGGTAAGAGCCAATGGAAGGGAAGGTAGAAGTCACGTGGGGTATCCAGAAATGTGCCACTCAAGGTCCCCGGTCCTTATAAAGTAAGTAAAATATTTTTACCAAGGTCCCCCCTTGTTTTCTCGTTTTTTCGACATGCATCTAGATGATGATAGTGGATTTAAATGTAGTTATGGTCTTAAAAGAAAGATTATTGACGTTTCTTGGGTGTAAATGCAAATTTTATTTTGTTATTGTGGTCTGTGGTTTAGTGGTTTTAGCATCCTTCACATTGAAATATTTTCTTGAGAGGGCGGTACATGATGAAATCCCTTATTGTTTGATATATATATATATATATA